GGGGGGGGGGGGGGGGGCGATCGGGTGCGCGCATGCAGCGCCCCCGGGGCCGGGCTGGAGGAGCAATCTCCCCGGGCACGGGCACGGGCCCGGCCCGGCCTTCCGGCGAGCCGGCCTCGGCCGGGGGGTGTTCGTCCGGTCCCTCGCCGGCGGACGGATGCCCAGCGATCGGGCTGGGCCTCCAACGGCCTTGGCGCCGTGCGGCAGGGGGGTCGCGCCCGCGCGCACGCACGCATGTGCCCCCCCCCCCCCCCCCAATCGCTGCCGGGGAGGGGAGCGCCTTCGCCCTGGGGCTCTCAAGAGACGGAGGGGCGCGCCGGCCTGTCGGCTGGCCGGCCGCCGCCGCATTGTCCCTTCCGCGCCTCTCCTCTTCTATCTCTCTCTCTCTCTCTCTCTCTCCTCTGCACCAAGCTCGCCCTCCGCCCCTTTCGTTCGCTCGTTCGCTCTCTCCCCCTTGAAGGTATACCCATGGCCAGCAGCGACGCGCAGGTGCCCCCGCCCTCGGGCTACATCGGCTCCCTGACGCCGGAGGAGTCGGCCACGCTGGATAAGCTGCGCAGCTGGCTGGTGGCCGACTACACCGGGTCGGCGCTCGCCCGGCCACCCATCTCGGTGGTTGTCGAAGGAGTGACCATCACCAATGGCACCGTCGAGGATGGGGGCCAGCTCTTCCGTGACTCGATGGTCGAGAACTTCCTGGCCGAGGTGAATGATGACCGTACGCGAGCCGTCCACCTCCCCTGGCGTTTTGCTCTTTGTCGGGCGTGATGTCTAACGTGCATCCCTGTCTGTCTGTGTGTGTCTGTGTGTGTCTGTGTGTGTCTGTGTGTGTCTGTGTGTATCTGTGTGTGTCTGCCTGTCTCTCTCTCTCTCTCTCCCCCTCCTCCCCCCTCCCCTCCCCCCTCCCACACACACGCATGCACACCCTTGTCTGCCGGTGGCCCGGGGATCTCTCCGGTCGCAGGCGCCCTCCTTCGCTTTCTCCGCGCCCGGCGCTGGGTCCCGGAGAAGGCGTATGAATCCTTCATCCAAGCCATGGCCTGGCGTCGGTCCTTCGGCGTCCTGTCGCTGGACGACTCGGTGCGCATCTCCCGCCCCCCCC